GACCAGCCAAAAACAGTTATGTTCTTGTGGCGTAATCCAGATGTGATCGAGCGAGTCAGTTGGTTGAGGAGAAGTGCTGCGTAAAGTTCCAGACGTGGCAAGGATTTCCGAGGTTCTGTTTCCAACAAATGTCTTCAGTTGGACTGGCGCATACGATAGCCAGGAGAGCACTATAGATGAGCCGGACAAGCCAAAAACAGTTATGTTCTTGTGGATTAATCCAGATCTGATCGAGCGAATCAGTTGGTTGAGGAGAAGTGCTGCGTAAAGTTCCAGACGTGGCAAGGATTGTTGTTTCAGTGGAGCCACCCTTTTTTTCGCAGCCACAATGGACACCGAGATGGATCCATCGTCATTTGTAACTCTGCTGTACACCACAGCAGCATACGCCTTGGTTGAAGCATCCGAAAATCCGTGGAGTTCGATGTTGTCCGGGTCGTTGGGAACAAATCGTGGTAGTCGGCATTTTTGAAGAGTGTCCAGATCTGCTCTCCACTTCAGCCAGTTGTCCGCCAGTTTAGTTGGGAGTGGGTCAATCCAAATCCAATCCAAATTCAAGAGCCAGAGCTTTTGGAAAAGAATTTTGAATTGAATGACAATGGGTGCCAAGAGTCCGAGAGGATCAAATATCCTCGAGACGTCGGACAAGACTTGTCTCTTTGTGCAATCAGGATTTGCAGCTAGACCGACATTGTACGTTTGAATGTCTTTTCCAGGATGCCAGTACAGTCCGAGAACCTTTACTAATGACGTTTGTGTAGATTGTGTGTAGCTATTATCCGTTTGTATACATGGTGTATTCGATACCCATTTCCCGAGCTCAAGGTTGGCGCGAGACATCATCTGAACCAGCTCGTTACGGTTTCGAACTAGCTCATCCTCACTGTTTGACCCAGTAAGAATGTCATCGACATAAAAATCCTCCAGCAGGATTTTCGAAGCATTTGGGTATTCCTCTTGATGATCGATAGCAAGTTGTTCCAGCACTCGCAACGCCAGGAATGGTGCGCATGAAGTTCCGTAGGTTACCGTGCACAATTCGAAATGCTTGATGGGATCGGATGGATCTTCTCTCCAAACGATTTTCTGGAATTTTCTGTGCTTTTCGTTGACCCATATCTGGCGGAACATTTTTACGATGTCAGATGAGAATGCAAATTTGTACATTCGAAAACGAAGGCACACAGCGAATAGAATACTGGGCCCTGTAAACAACGTGTCATTTAAAGCCTTCCCATTGGCGTCGCGAAATGATCCATCGAAAACAACTCGTAGCTTCCTCGGGTGGCACTTCTCGCATGTGCCCCAGATTTGTGTACGTATTGTGTACGCAGCTGCTTGTTCTGTTGCAGCCGCCGCTCAACCGATTTAAAGCGTTTGAGCGCTCCTTGTAAAGTCCCTCCGAATTCGGGGTTTTCAGTGTTAAATGGAAGTTCCACGATATAGTTCCCGTTTTCATCGCGACTGTGAGTGGCGAGAAAGTGCTTCTCGACTTGATCATCCTCCGGTTCCAGTTTTGCGCTGCTTTGAACGTTTTCTAGTTCACAAAACTTCTGAAGCGTGGCGCCTATGTCCACTGTTGTAGTCAGTGCACAAGCGTTGCTTGGACTCGATGTGATGAGTGAAGTTATTACCCATCCGAACACCGAAGAAATGGCGATAAGGTTACCCTTGTTGTCGTACTTCTTTCGTCCTGTAAACACTGACCATACGTGTTCGCTGCCCAATAGAATGTCAACAGGTGAGTTTGTGTTGAATTCAGTATCCGCCAACTGCAGATCCTTGAAAACCTTGTGCGCCGATGCATCGATGTTTTGCCCTTCCAGCGAAGAAGTGATCCTGCCTAGCACGTGAGCGTAGACAACCAACTGATCCTCGGAGATACGAGACTTGATGTGCAAGGTGCTGCATCCCCTGGTCGTGTCTGTTTTCACCAAAGAGATTCCCGTAGCCAAGATGCGTGATGTCGACCGTGTCAATCCGAGAGCTTGGATGCAACGCTCGGATACGAAGGAAAGCTCTGAGCCCGTGTCCAATAATTGACGGCATGTTACGTGGTCACCCTTTGCGTTTTGTACATAAATCATGTCAGTTGGTAATATGCTTCGTTTAACTTCCGATTCCTGTGCAGATTTTGCAGTGCCCTGCGCACATACAACCGATTGAATGCCCTCTCCTTGGGCGAAATGACTGGAGTCACCGATGTGTTGTTGGACGCGCTTGTGTTTCGCTCGTCCTCCCCTGCTATCTGGGCAAGATTCCCAATAGCCTGTGGATTCGCTTGGACATGAAGAAGGGAGTGATGATTTCCCTTGCATTGCCTACATTTGTATGTCGACTTGCACTTGCTGACCCCAAGACCAGGTCGCAAGCAGTTGTAGCACAGTGTTTTCTCCTTCACGAAGGATCGCCTCTGCATCCCGGACATATCCAAGAACTGCGGACAGCTGTACAGAGTGTGTTCTGCAGAATTACATTTGGTGCAGCCACTGCCTTCGACCGCAACCATCGATTGTATGACCCTTTTTGGTTTTTCTGCATGTGTTATTGTCTTGCCACCAGTAGCAAGCTTCCTTTTACTCAGCTCCAGTTCCTCGCAACGAGAATCGAGAAACTTGAAGAATTCCTCGAGAGTTGGTGAATCCGTGTCCATGCTGCGCTCAATCCACCTGCGCCGCGTGTCAGCGTTAAGTTTCTCCAGGGCCAGATAGATGATCCAGCAATCGTGTCCCATCTGGTTGACCGCATCCAATGGAACTTCTGTGTGTTGGACAAATGCTGGTTGTTATGAATTGTGTTTTCATAGATGTCTTGAAAGGAGGGCCACTCTGTGTAGTTGCCAGAGAACCGCTTGATTTGAATTTTTGGCAATTCTCTCTGATTAGAATTTGCAGCGAATACCTAACTTAAATTCGCCAAAGTGACGTCACCACCAACTTGAACCGGCGTGCTCGAGCTAGCCTGATTTGCAGCCAGTCGCTCAAATAGTTGTTGGTTTTGTTGCAGCAAATTGACAATTGCGTCGTTGTTGGAATGCAGACCGTTGCTGCCATTCGTAATGCCTGTAGATGTACTCGGTTGTAGAGCATCACATCTGTCTTTGAGAATTGCGATCGCCCTTAGGTACTTTTCTTCGTAAATCGCATTATAGATCTCCGGATCGACGTAACCTTCCACTTCCTCGTGGACAGCAATGGCATCGCCGAACTCAATGAACTCCTTCCAAACATAGTGGAGAAGTTGTATGCGCGTGGTGTTCTCTGTCTGTGTTGCAGATTCCGCTTGCTCTGCCCATGAGAGACAACGTGTGATGTAAGCCTTGAGCCTGGAACGGCTCTTCATAAATGCTTTTAATTGTTCCATAGCAAACAATTTTCCTGAGAATCAAAGCACTTCACTAACTGTCCAAGAATCCAGGAACGAAGGACCAACAATTTGGTCAGAAATAAGACGAGTTGAGTTGCGTGTGTGTGGACTGTATTAAATTTTATTCTTGTCAGTTGCGAAGCCTATTTGACATTAAACGACGCCGTCTTAGCGTCGTTGCCAGAAACTAACGAGATTTTTATACCCGTTACTCGTAGAGTAAAAGGGTATACTAGATTCGTGCAAAAGTATGTAACAGCTAGAAGGAAGCGTTTCCGACCCCATAAAGTATATATATTCTTGATCAGGGTCACTAGCCGAGCCGATCTAGCCATGTCCGTCTGTCCGTCTGTCCGTCTGTCCGTCTGTCTGTCTGTCTGTCTGTCTGTCTGTCTGTCTGTCTGTCTGTCTGTCTGTCTGTCCGTCTGTATGAACGCTAAGATCTCAGAAACTACAAAAGCTAGAAGGTTGAGATTTCCCACACATATTCTTTGGTTTCCTACGCAGCGCAAGTTTATTTTAGCAGAGCGCCACGCCCCCTCTAACGCCCACAATCGCCCACTAACGATTTTAAAATGGGTCCTGCGCCCACATCTTTAAAGATTTCCGAGAAGTATAAATGCAATTTTGTTGTGTATATTTATACCTATCGAAATGTAGAAGACATTTTTAAAATCGGATTATTCATTAAAAAATTATACGCAATAAAAAATTATATATCTATCTCCCTCGCACTCCCTTTAGCTGAGTTACGATTATTAGTCGGGACACCAACCCGACACAGCGTTCGCACTCCCTTTAGCTGAGTGACGGGTATTAGATAGTCGGGACAACAACCCGACTATAGCGTTCTCTCTTGTTTTGTATGTATACATGTTTTCTTGTACATAGGATTAATTATATACAATAGAATAGAGATGGCATAATGCGCCTATATATTAGAGATGATTAAAGCTGCAAGCGTTCACGAACAGCCTAACTTCTACATTTTTTTCCGATTGACTGAAAACTTTTTTTGTATAATCTTAAGATGTTAATCTACAAGAAAAAAAATTTAATTTTTTTTGGCAAGGCCGTCTGTTTGCCCGTCCCTATGAATGCAGAGATCTCGGAAACTATAAAAGCTAGAAAGTTGGTAATAATAATGTAGATTCTTGGGCTTTCTACTAATCGCCATAAATGATTTTAAAATGTGTGGCGGTGTTTATTAATGCCTATCAAAATGTAGAAGACATTTTTCAAATCAATCGAAGTTTTGTATCTCCGTCTGCGTCGCACTGATAGCTGAGCGACGGGTAACAGATAGTCGGGACACCCACCCGACTATAGCGTTCTTTCTTGTCTTTTTTTTTATTTACAAATCTAAAGTTTGTCAATACTGTGGATTTAATGAAAGAGGCTGAATTTCCAAAATATTTAAATGCAGTTATATGCGGGCATGCCGTAAGATTATGGAAAGCACATTTTTAAACCATTTTGACAATATTTATGTTTTTTTTTTTAGATTTTTATGTCATCTGTTTTGTGTGATTTTTGCTACTACATAGAGATTTTCTATTAGAAAAGTCTAGATTATATGACAATAAATATAAAAATATTTTAATATATGAACACGTTTTAATTGTTTTTTGCAGCACTTTTAATTGACAGAATCCAGAGCGACGGAAGTTTATCAAAAGCATTTTTGTCAACATATTTATATAAAGTTCTTGACTGTTTATTTTTAAACGAAATATATGAAAATGAACGCCAAACACTTGCTGCTTTACACACAATCAAGCGTTGTCTAAAATATTACCCAAAAGGAATAAAATCAAAAAAATCATCGATTGAAAAGATATTATTGTCACTAATAGACAACCGTAATGTTGATGTTATTCATCAAACTGGTGAATGTTGGCTTTTGTTACAGAATATACAGGGTAATTGCAGCAATGAAAACGTTTGTAATAAAACAGTATGGAGAGATTTCCAGTTATTATTACTTAATAATCTTCAACAACTCATAAGCAATATATTGATAACTTCTAAAGAAAACATTGAAAGCCCTTCTGAATCACACAGCTTCAGTTTATTTCCTTTTGAAATAAAAGATCCGTTTGAAATGGTATCACAAGCTTTTCGGAGGATTTTTAATCTTATTGAATATTTAAAAATTACATTAAGGTAAGAAAATCTTTTTTAGGCCTTTTTAAAAACTGCATTGGCTACATCGAAGTCTCTAAAAATGTGAACAAATTATTTCCATTTCACTCATAAGCTCATAAGTTGCACGAAAAAGGAAAAAAATTATATATTTTGTTGAACCAAGCTTTTTGCATTGGCTCTTTGGCCCATTTTTATTGAATTTGGCTCTTTTTTGCTAATAGCTATACAAAATATTTTAATCTTAAAGAAAAAGAATTAATTCATTTAATAATGGATTTTATTTTGCAATTTTAAAAGTTATTAATGTCTGAAACCCAACAGTGCCAGATCGAAACTAAATTTTTCCGCATATGGTATAAATTTGGCTTTTTTTGTTTTCAAATTGGCTAATTTTTAATTTTTTTTGGCTAAAAATTTTTTTTTTAAGTGGCAACCGTGATTGTAGGGTTTTTCTGCTTGCAAACGCAAATGAAAGATCATAAAGAACACGAAGAAGCACAATTGAGATATTTATTTTTAAAAAAGCTGTCTGTGTAGCCGTGGTACCATTTTATTAAGGCCATTCTGTTTACATAACATAACTATTTTTAGAGAACAATTTGTATTTAAAAAGTACATTTGTACACATCAAATCTTGGGTTTAATACACAATGGACTTCAAGTAAATGGACACCAAAGAAATAACTTGCAAATTGATCATGCTTATTTTGTGACCTTCTTACCGGAAATGCACATTAAATTATTGGAACTTTTGGAAATTCTCATTGAAATGTAAGTAAATCTTACTATAAGATTTTAATGATAAAACTAAGAATTAATAATAAAAAAAAAACATTTTTTTTAATATTTTTTTTTTAGGTTAACATCTTAGGATTATACAAAAAAAGTTATAAGACCATCGGAAAAAAACTAGGAGTTTGGCTAAAATGTGTATTAGTAGTTAAAAAGTTAGTTGAAAAATAAACAAGAGAGAACGCTATAGTCGGGTTGTTGTCCCGACTATCTAATACCCGTCACTCAGCTAAAGGGAGTGCGAACGCTGTGTCGGGTTGGTGTCCCGACTAATAATCGTAACTTAGCTAAAGGGAGTGCGAGGGAGATAGATATATAATTTTTGATTGCGTATAACTTTTTAATGAATGGTCCGATTTAAAAAATGTCTTCTACATTTCGATAGGTATAAATATACACAACAAAATTGCATTTATACTTCTCGGAAATTTTTAAAGATGTGGGCGCAGGACCCATTTTGAAATCGTTAGTGGGCGATTGTGGGCGTTAGAGGGGGCGTGGCGCTCTGCTAAAATAAACTTGCGCTGCGTAGGAAGCCAAAGAATATGTGTGGGAAATCTCAACCTTCTAGCTTTTGTAGTTTCTGAGATCTCAGCGTTCATACAGACGGACAGACAGACAGACGGACAGACGGACAGACGGACATGGCTAGATCGACTCGGCTAGTGACCCTGATCAAGAATATATATACTTTATGGGGTCGGAAACGCTTCCTTCTAGCTGTTACAAACTTTTGCACGAATCTAGTATACCCTTTTACTCTACGAGTAACGGGTATAACAATAAACAACCGATCTTAATGAAACATAGCTAATTTTTTAGTCGTTTTATCTACTATCAAAAAAAAAATAAAAAAATTAAGAATTTAAAATTTAATTATTTTTTTTTTAATTAAAACCGCGTATAACTTTGGTTTTTGACAAGAATTTACCTCATTTTTTACGGTGTAAGTACTACTTTTTTTCCAAATCGATTTTATTTATTAAGAGTAGTATTTTTAAAGAAATTTTTTGGAAAGTTCCTTTTAAGCTGCAAATCAGATTTTAACATGGATAATGACTTTGAAGTAACCAAATCCAGGCTTGGAAACTTTTTGAATCGTCCAATTGGCCCAGACTTCTTATAAACATGATCCTAACTTAAGATAAAATACTAACCGTAGCCCCATTCTAGATTTAATATTTTAAAAAATTATAAGTAACACAAGTGTACTTATTATTTTGACCACACCAAAACCGACCTTTCGCACAAATGTATGGCTAACATGGAATAGACAGGTTTCACTGTATCCATTGTTTATTAAAATATTGCAGGACAGAATAACCTTTCAAAATAAAAAGGCTTGGGAGGTCTGGCCTCAATAACTATAGAGATATCTCTTAGCAAGTGAAGATGTAACGTGTGTACTTATTATTTTGACCAGTAGTGTATACTACCTGCAATAGAAAGAAGACTTTTGGGAAAGTTTCATTCCGATAGCTCAAAAACTGAGAGACTAGTTTGCGTAGAAACAGACGGACAGACGGACGGACAGACGGACATGGCTAGATCGACTCGTCTAGTGATGCTGATCAAGAATATAAATACTTTATGGGGTCGGAAACGTCTCCTTCACTGCATTGCAAACTTCTGACTGAAATCATAATACCCTCTGCAACGGTATAAAAATGTACAAAATTTATTTTAACAATAACACTATGCAACATCTAAAATTTACCTCGATGGTTGCTATATTTTTGAATTTGTTATGAATTCCCAAGTTAAACTGCGTTTTCCAAAAAGTTCCCCGACGCACAGTGTAAGATTTTGCCATTCTAGCGGGATTTTTAGCAAAAGTTGAACTATTTTTGAGGTCGATGAGTTTTAAGCAGCACTTTTAGAAATGTTCAACTATTACGAATACAGGCACAAAACAAAACAAACAATTTTTTTTGGAAGATAACGGTTTTTAAAGTTGGACTTTAGAAATGCATGCAAAATTGCACTGGGAAGCGAGCAACAGTTGACAAAGTTTAGTCCTATCAATTGCATCGCGTGATCAGTGGGAGCAGCCAAAAGTTATTTTTCCCAGAAACTTTCAAAAACAAAAATATTTTTTTGGCCCATAAATTTTTTTTCTTTTTTGAAAAAAGTGTTAAAAAGTAAGTGTATTTTTTCATGTTTCTGTTTCTTGGTGGAAAAAAAAGCTATATTATTCTATTGTATTCTATCCAACCAGAACATACATCATTCGCTTGCATTCATTCTGATTCAGAATCTAAAATAAAATCTTGCCCATATTTTGCCCAAAGACCTTCTATTTAGAAATGAGTGAAATAAGCCGTGCTGCATTTTTCGAGGTTTGGTCGAAAAAAATTAAAAACCACTCAGCGAGAGGCTCTTGTAAAGCACGCAGTGATGGTGTTTGGCAATGACATTGATCACTCCAAATTGAAATAACACTGTCTTTTGAGTTTATAAACCGATTTGAGAAATCTAGGAGAGATAAAGCCAGGTTTTTTGCTCATAATGTAAATGGCCTTCATGTCACTGATGTCATTGTTTCCACCTCAAGTACAAGAGGGAGGTCACAAAAAGCCTTTTCTGAGTGTTGTCCCAAAACACAAAAAAAGGAAAAGCCAAGAATTGTTGCCAACGATAGATGAGGATCAATTGCTATCAGCTGCAGAACGGGCTTTGCGGGCGAAAGAAAAGCGGGATTCAGCTAAATTAATTAATGAATTACCAAATGCTCCCCCGTCCACGGGGACTATAATTAAGAAAGCTAAATTATCTTCTAATAGCACTGCAAAACGCCTTTCAACAGAACAAGCACTTGCCCTTCTGATAGACAGTAAATTATTAATGCACCAGTACAATACCACAAAAATTGTCTGTCCAAAATTATACCCATGTTATGATCTCGTTAAGGAGTCATAAATGTTATGCTATCCTACTGGTATAAAAGTAAGAGAATCCTATGCTGAAATAAGTTTACAATCCCTCATTGATCATACCGTAAAACGGCTGATAAGTGCTAAAGAAGACATTTTTGAGAATGTCTCCACTAGACGATGTACACATGAAGTTTGAATTGTTACCATTTAATAGAAAAAAATCTTAAAAATATAAACCAAATTTTTTTTTGTTTTTGTTATCAATTATCTTTAATATAAAATCTTATTTGCAGCTGTTCAGCTTATAACTTCAAAGTTACAGCTAAAAACATGAGCATATAACCAAAATTCAACAATTTCTAAAAAAAAAAAAAAAAGTGGCCTCCAAAAATTAAAAACAAAATTTTTTAAGTTAAATAGTTAAAAGTTTCGAAATTTTTTTTTTTAATTTTTGTTGGGGTTTTTATCTTAAAAAAAAAAACAGTTTTTGTAAATTTTTAACGCCCCCAAAAGTGCCACGCCCATTTTTTTATGTCCAAAATAATCTTTGGGCTTACTAGAATATTCACTCCAAATTTGAAGCCGATATCTTTAAAATTCGACTCCTACTGATTTAAGTCCCCCTAGATTGGCAAAATCGTACACTGTGCGACGCAAGAATTCTTAGCACGAGCACCTCAAAGTTCGAAAAATGCTGAAGCTGGCCAACTTTCCGGAGGTCTCAGAGGCAAACGGATTCATGGTTTTATTTTGATGTTAAAGTTTTTTAAAAAATACACTCTTTATCTTTCAAACCCCATTCTTACAATAACGTTAAAAAGTTATTTAGAAACGAAAATAGCCACTTTTGCCGGCTAACAACATTAAACGCTGCCTGAGCATTAAATATTGTATGTGCGTATCCAAACTGTATTTTAGGGTCATGGAATCGTTCAAATTTTTTTAAACCGTTCCATTAATGGAATTCTTAAATAAATAATTAAATAATTTAATTTAAATTTTTATGTAAATAATGGAAAAGTAAAAAACACTAGTTTACAACTTAAAATTTTTTTTCGAGGTAAGCCTTGAGACGAATTTTTATACCCGTTACTCGTAGAGTAAAAGGGTATATTGTATTCGTGCAAAAGTATGTAACAGCTAGAAGGAAGCATTTCCGACCCCATAAAGTATATATATTCTTGATCAGGGTCACTAGCCGAGTCGATATAGCCATGTCGGTCTGTCTGTCTGTCCGTCCGTATGAACGCTGAGATCTCGGAAACTATAAAAGCTACACTCATAAAAAAAAATCGAAGAATTTCCGTTAAATCTAGGAAATTCTTTCTTGAATTTTTGCCAAAGGTGACCTCGCCTTTGTTTCAAGAAATGGTTTTTTTGAAAGGCACCTTTAAAACAAGAAAAAATATTTATTGAAACAAGAAATTAAATTTCTTAAAACAAGAAATGGTTTTTTAGAAACCCACCATTAAAAGAAGAAAAATATTTCTTGAAACAAGAAAGGCGATTCTTGTTTCTAAGGTGCTTTTTTCTTGTTTCAAGAAATTAAATTTCTTGTTTCAAGAAAGGGTTTTTTAGAAAGGCACCTTTTAAACAAGAAAAATTCTTTCTTGTTCAAATTTCCCTTCAAGAAATTTTATTTCTTGATTTAAAAAATAATATTTCTTGAAAGGAAGTTTTATATTAACACTGAAACCCTAAAAATAAAATGTAACTTGGTTTTTCTTTTGCATATTATATGTATTTACATTTAACATATTTAACACTTAACATTTAAAAATTTTTAAATAACACATTTTTGACTCAAGAAAACCTTATTATTACCCAAGGTCTGTTGAACTTCATATGACCTAAGGTAATCCATTTTCTTCGACTTTCCTCATCTAGAAAAAAAGATTTATTGGGATATCAATGATTTGATTTTAGATAAACAACTTTTTTGAAGAAATGTAATGTTAATCAAATAAAAACACCTCTTAACGAGGTAAAAAACTAGTGACGATCGCACCTTCAACATACAAAAGTTCTGATATCAACATTTGTGACGAAAAATTATTACACTCGTCATTAAATAGACTTTCTAATATTTTCTCCCGCCCTAGCAAACTATTCCAGCCTTTTTCCCTTCGCAGGCATTTTCTATTGCAACGTGCCGAATGAGAAAATATTAGAAAGTCTATTTAATGACGAGTGTAATAATTTTTCGTCACAAATGTTGATATCAGAACTGTAGCGTGTGCGTTGGTGAGAATCGAAAACGAATTTCACTTACTCGTGCATACGGGTCTCAGAGGTCGTGCACTTCTTGCTTTTCTTCTGACTGAGCTCGCCGGATGGGGTATGGGTTCTTTCTTCGACCTTCTATGCTACACTGCATCACAAATTAAGTGCACTTTACGGAAAACTACAGATTGGACTAAGAAGTGGGCTAAAACGACGGGAATTATGATGAGCGGTACTAATCTAAAACGAATTTGGGGTGTGTAAGCTGTTGTAACCCCATGTCTTTACCCTCCCTACATGGTGACGCGTGCGTAATATAATCACCCCTTATTCAGACTGTATATAATTTTACCTAGTGCATGACTTCGAATTGATTTCTGTAATCGCGACGATCCGACTATTAAATTTATTCCATGATTATTTCCATGATATTATACATTTATTCACAATTTCCTTCGCGGAGATGATATTTCAAAAATTCTCATAAAAAAATAGCTTGACCCCTATTCGGTCCTTTACTTAAAGTTTGACTGGGAGTCCATGGTTTGAGTTAACTTTACTTCAATATTCTCAAATAAAAAAAAATGTTTACATGACTCCCAACATAATTGTGATTCGACCTATATTTAATTATTTACGAAAGGCAGCAGCACATAAAATACGGTTTTTAAAACCGCGTCGAAATTATCGGCTATTTAATTTTATGGCATGTAGGGGTTCAGATATACATATATGGAATCAAGCAAAAGGAAGTGTTCAAAACTCACATGACATTCATCCGTTCAGTAGCACGCTGGGCCCATCGTTGCTGTTGACGAAGATCTAAACTGAAAGAAACTTTACAAGGTTCTATTTACATAATCTGAGGCCACTGTTATCGCTTTTAGAAAAGCGAGAGCTGTTGCGGCATTCTCTTTGAAAACAGCTCACTATTCCCTACAGCTGCTATTCGAATTGAATTTACATGTTTATGTTTAACTAAAGACTAATTGAGAGATGAAAGTAATAAAAAAAATAAAAGAAAAGGTTTAACAAAAAAAAACTGATCGTCCTGTCAACAATTCCTGTGGCGGTGCAACTGTGGCCAATGAAGGGCTGATGGATTCCTCCAGTCGCGTTCGTTGTACGCAGGCGGTGCGCGCAGCGCCGATCAGGGCTGCCAACCGTCTCCGTATGCCGCGCGTGGCGCTGGCAATGATTCGGCGCTGGCCAATGGTTTCCTGATTAGGCCTTGCAATCCGATCCGGTGGCTGAACTGCGTGGGCAAGTTTGCGCAGCGGGGTGTGCGTGATGAATCCCCCAACAGGGGGGTGGCGGTTGGTGTAGCGGCGACAGGTATTTCGTGGACACGTGCGTGGTGCACTCGATTCGAGGTTGTGGCTGTTCGCAGGCTGATGCGGATATCGCGGCTCGTTGGGCGATAAGTCCGTAGAAATATACCTGCCGCCGATCTACACCGGTACCGTGAATAGAATACGGCGCCGATGGGCCGAGAAAAATGACGTCACACCACTTCTGCCTGAATTGCAGTCCACACCTTGTACGCAGAAAACCATTGTTTTAGTATTTACTCTATCCGGCCTTCTCAACGCTAATAGTTACCTGCAGCAGAATGTATTGAATTGCGTTGATATATATTGAGCGAACACTTCTACAACTGGAGTGACTTTAATCTGGGTTTATTACACACTTTATTGTTTTCACGTCTGTCTCTGGGTAGCGATCGAGTTGAAATGGAACGAACTTTCGGCAGCGACCACGCTTAAGTCGAGTCGCACACATACCAGCGCAGCAGTGGCAAAGGAGAACCGAAAACTCACCACGGCGAGTAAACGGTAAACTCGCCTGATCTGAGCTGTTCTGTTTCGTTCTCGCGCTTCGCACCTCGTGTTTCTTGTCGAAAACGGTGTACTGCGTGAATAAGGAAATGATATAGAGATGGAATAAAAAAATGCGCTGGCCGTTTAACGTGCCGTTTGCTTTCAGCTCGGTTTGTGAGTACAGTGGAACGCATTAGGATTTTTGTTGGTCCAGCTGGCTACTACAAAACTTTTGTATGTTGAAGGTGCGATCGTCACTAGTTTTTTACCTCGTAAAGAGGTGTTTTTATTTGATATCAGAAGTTTTTGTTTGTTTACATTTGCTCTCATAGGATTTAATATATACATTTAAACTTAAATTGGTCAATCATAAATTGTAAGCCACTGTATTTAAACAAATTAAGTTAAAAAGGCGTTTAAGTATTTCAAAATACCTTTTAAACGAGGTATAGCACATGTCGGTACCTTTAGTAGTGTAGAACTTACAAACTAACGAAATTTAGCTATTTTTAGCTTTTTCCCGCTAAAGTAGCGGCTTTTTCCAAAAGTCGTAGAACAATAGATTCCTATATGGAACTTTTAAGTGCAAATTTACTGATTCCATAACCATAAAATACAGTTCGGATACCCTCCCACAAATTTCAATACTCAGGGAGCGTTAATTGTTCGAGCTGGCAAAAGTGGCTATTTTCGTATAAAAATAACTTTTAAACGTGACTTTTTACAGTAATGTGTTATATACCAAAATTTAAGGAATCTCAAGGGCTATACAGTTTAAGGTTTTAAAGAAAATCGTTAGAGCCGTTTTTGAGAAAAATAAAAAAAAGGTAAAAAAAAAGTTTTTAAAAATTGTCTTTTGTTCATATTTTTTTAATTATTACATTTACACAAATTGCATATAGAAGGCGTTTATAGCATTTAAAAATACCTTTCAAACGAGATGCAGCACAAGTCTGTAGCTTTAGTAGTATATAAGTTACGGATTTCCGAATTTTAGCTATTTATAGCTGTTTTCCCGCTAAACTAGCGAGTTTTTCCAAAAGTAGTAGAACAAAAGTTTTTCATATCGATGTGATGAACGTCATATCAAATTTTCAAAACTTAAAAAACATGTTTTCGACAAACTGACAAACAAAATTAAATTTTTATTTTGGGAAGACGAAGAAAATCTTATTTTGGCTATAACTTTTCGGCGGGTATTTTTAAAAGGAATACAACTAAAACATTGCGAGGGGGCATTTATCCCCACCGGCCCCAACAGCTCCAAATTTCGAAATTTTCACTTTTTCACTTTCACCGCTCTCTCTCCCAAGCCAATTGATTTTCTTAGAGTCTTGGTATGCAATCCTGTTAGTTTTCGCAATACCTTTCGATAGGTGTATCATTCATTATGATCGGATCATCACAGTAGATTTTCATTTCTTCGTGTATATATAGTAGTCGCCTTCGCACACTCTCCTGGTGCGCTTCGTCACTACATGGACTGCCGTCCATAGTGATATTAATAATAGCCAAAATACAAACACGTTGGTCAGACGACCGAGAGAGAGAAGCAAGCGAGGTAGAAAATGAAGGGTTGAAAATCGAATTTCAGAGAGAGAGAGGCACGGGAGACACACGTACATACATACATATATATTTACATACAGTCCTTTGCGCGAAGGGAGACCGAATGTAAGCAGGTCAGATAATGACAGTTTTAAGAAGGAGAAGAGAGAAACGTCGCGACGCGTAGGTCAAGCGAGCGAGAGTGAGGAGCAGAATATGAAAGGGTTGAAAATCGGGTCTCGGATCGGGTGAGCCGCGAACATGCATAGATATTTACAAGCATACATAAGTATGTCAAACAAATACAACATATTTTTCTTACCTTAGAAGGTTTTAAAACAAAATTACAGCTTCGCCAAACAAGATATTTGGCTGATGCAACTGTAGGTATTTTCACTGTGAAAAATAAATAGATACAAAATCCCAAAACTCAACCCACCCACTTTAAACAACTGTAATCTCTCTTTAAGCGATCACGCAAGATACTTGGGGTTAGTATTAGATAAGCGTCTTAAATGGGGCTTAAACAACCAAGAGAGAACCAAGAAAGCGACCATTGCACTTTACTCTTGTAAAAAAGCAATCGGGCTTAGATGGGGTATGTCCCCTAAAATCGTCAATTGGATATACACAGCGGTAGTCAAGCCAATCCTACTATATGGAGTGACTCTGTGGTGGACCGCTCTACACAAACAATGTATCCTAACTCCCCTTAACAAAGTAGAGCGCATGGCGGCTTTGTGTATTAGTGGAGCCCTTCGAACTACCCCAAACGAAGCGCTGAATGCGATCTTGAACCTCCAGAGCCTGGACTTATCAGGCATGGAAAGGGCGAAATCGGCAGCCATTCGACTAAGGGATACGGGGCAATGGAAATCCCAACTGTATGGTCACGCTAAGATTCTTCAGCATGACAATTTGATCCCGCCAAAAACGGATCTATGTAAAACCCGTGAATACAGACACACGCCCTTCGAAGCTCTGATCCCAGGTAGGGAAGCATGGGATCGGGGCCGACCGGGCTCAATAGACGCAATCTGTATATATACAGACGGCTCCAAACTCGACGGACACGTTGGTGGAGGCATATACTCCGAGCAATTAGAGATCAGGCAGTCATTCAGACTTCCTGACCACTGCAGTGTCTTCCAAGCGGAAGTGTATGCTATAATGGAAGCACTCGTCTGTTTAAGGGGCTTAAACACCCAGAACAGGCACATAAACATATATAGTGATAGCCAAGCGGCTATTAAATCAATATACTCGACGAATACAAACTCCCGAACAATAGCCGACTGTCGCAATTCTCTTCACGAGATGGCTAGTCAGTTTACTGTCAGCCTTATATGGGTTCCGGGTCACCGGGATATCGTAGGCAACTGTATAGCAGACGAGCTAGCCAGGCAAGGCACCACCATACCTCTCCTTCCAGGAAAGGAGAGTGTTGGCATGCCTTTGGCTACCTGTAAGCTAATTATTAAAAACCATTTCTGCAAATTAGCCAACACCAATTGGCAAAACACACCGCAGTGCCGAATCTCTCACCAGACATGGCCTGCAATAAACAATAAGAAAACATCAGAACTACTGAATTTCAGCCGCACAGAGTGTGGCATGCTAATTCGAGTACTGACAGGCCACTGGCTCGTTGGCGCACACGCCGGCAGGCTAAAAGCCCCTAAAAATGACTTCTGTAGAAGCTGCAGGGATGAGGAAGAAGAGGAAACGGTGGAACACCTACTCTGTTCATGCCCAGCCCTATGCAGGCTTAGACTGAAACACTTAGGATATCCTTTCATAAATGACCTGACCGAAATTTCGCAGATTAATCTGAAGAGTCTAAGCTCTTTTATTAAATCCTCCGGATGGGGGACTTGCTGATCGACCAACCTACAGGCTGACCCTTAACGGATAGGGGACCCAAAAATAGAGATCATACGGTACCACAATGGACCCACAGAGGTCTAAGTGTGCCAGGCTATAGTCTAGCAGCCGTCCTAACCTAACCTACATACATACAATTGTACGCGCGCTATACAAAAAATTATATATTTACATACCGAGAAGTTTTTAGCAAACTCGAGGTCATGCCGGCTTAGACTTCAAGAAGTCCAAGACGTCGGCATTATGCCAACACACAAAAAGGAGCGAAGAGGCTTCACTGTACATGCATGTTTCATGTAGTAGCCAACTACAATCATCAGCAGTGAAATCGCTGTCTTAGTCAACGATCGAAGTGGGTTACCATGTAAGCCGCGCTATAACTGGTTGAGAATTATAGCGTCGCCAGATCGGTAAACTTCGAAAAGCTGATCAAGCCCTTAGTGTGTGTTGGACTTTGTTCTGTCTTTGATCTCTATCAGAGTTCCGTGGCAGATTGTGAAGAATATGCATTACTGCATATTTTTAGGCTTCCATATAGCAGCCTTTTACGGCGTGTTGACCGTTTGTTGTCCAAAGTTTGGCTTTTTTGATACGACCTTTTTTCGTTTTAGAGAAGTTTTTAGCAAACTCGAGGTCATGCCGGCTTAGACTTCAAGAAGTCCAAGACGTCGGCATTATGCCAACACACAAAAAGGAGCGAAGAGGCTTCACTGTACATGCATGTTTCATGTAGTAGCCAACTACAATCATCAGCAGTGAAATCGCTGTCTTAGTCAACGATCGAAATGGGTTACCATGTAAGCCGCGCTATAACTGGTTGAGAATTATAGCGTCGCCAGATCGGTAAACTTCGAAAAGCTGATCAAGCCCTTAGTGTGTGTTGGACTTTGTTCTGTCTTTGATCTCTATCAGAGTTCCGTGGCAGAGTGTGAAGAATATGCATTACTGCATATTTTTAGGCTTCCATATAGCAGCCTTTTACGGCGTGTTGACCGTTTTTTGTCCAAAGTTTGGCTTTTTTGATACGACCTTTTTTCGTTATAGAGAAGTTTCTAGCAAACTCGAGGTCATGCCGGCTTAGACTTAAAGAAGTCCAAGACGTCGGCATTATGCCAACACACAAAAAGGAGCGAAGAGGCTTCACTGTACATGCATGTTTCATGTAGTAGCCAACTACAATCATCAGCAGTGAAATCGCTGTCTTAGTCAACGATCGAAGTGGGTTACCACCTTTGAATATTTAAAAAAGGCTTCACCTCTTATCCGCTTGAAAATCACGTCCATCACTTACGAATTTTTTTCACAACTGACCTGAGGCTCGGGTGATCAGAGAAGTCGGTACGGTAGCCGGGTAGTAGTCGACCCTTCGTCCAACTTCGTTTTTCTTGTCGTTAACATTCGCCAGCCGAAGGAAGTCAATGGCTACTTTTCTATATTCTAAGGTCATTTTATTCATATATTCAAAGGTGATTTTGTCCTTAAATACGTACAAAAATGTTTTGGCTGCGACGGCAAAACAAACATATGAGATTTTCATTTTTCTATTTTTAAGAAAAATTCTTTCTTGAATTTTTTCCATCAAGAAAGGTTTTCTGTATTCAAAGGAAAATTTTCTAATAACAAATTTTTTTTCTATTTTCAAAGGTAGGCCGATTCAATGACGAGATTTCCAAAATTTAGAAATTAATTTTTATGAGTGTAGAAGAATGACATTTTGCATGCAGATTCTAGGTGTTCCTACGCAGCGCAAGTTTGTTTCAAAAGGGTGCCACGCCCCCTCTAACGCCCACAATCGCTTATATCCGATTTTAAAAATTTCAATATTTCGGAAAAGTAAAAATGCAGTTTTATTGTGTTTATCAATACCTTTCGAAATGTAAAAGACATTTTTTAAATCGGACCATTCGTTAAAAAGTTACGGCGGATCAAAGTTTTTATCTCTATCTCCTTCGCACTCCCTTTAGCTGAGTAACGGGTATCTGATAGTCGGCGCACCTGACTATAGCGTTCTCTCTTGGTTTTGATTAGTTATGAGTTGCTTATCACGCTGAACAAATTAAAAAAAATCCCAAAGAACCCTTCTGAAGATATTCGCAAAAATCCACATTTTCGGACCTTCTTTTATAAAACCTAACAGATCTCAAAAACCATTAGACCAATAAACTTGTAACTTACACTATTTTAAAGGCAATAGATGAAGCTATTAGTCGTTGTTGTTATTGTTGGGTTGGGTTGTTTAACAAAAAAATTCATATCTCCTAGAATTTGCACTCCCTTTGAAAATATATGGCCTTAACTTGTTAACAACAAAGAGGCCTTTAGATCTGAAAGCTCAAAATATTTTATACATTTTTATGTGTATTTTTTTTAAGTAAATAAAAACTAGCTATAACAAAAAAACGCCAGAAATGAAACTGTTTTTGAACTTTCACAGGTTGTACCTCTATTAATTTGCGAATATCTTCAGAACGGTTCTTTGGGAATTTTTTTAAATTTGTTCATCGTAATTAGCAACTCAAAACTAATCAAAAAAATTGGTCTTAAGGCTTTCCTTTTTTTGCTGTAAACTAGTGTAATCAAAAACTTCTGATTTCAAATAAAACCCCTCTTAACGAAGTAATAAACTAGTGACGATCGCACTTTCAACATACAAAAGTTCTGAAGTTAACATTTGTGACGAAAAATTATTCCACTCGTCAATAAATACACTTTCTTTCTATACATATTCGGTATGGGAACAGTACCGGAACTGGAACCGAAATTAGATTCGGTTTGATTCCCTACTATAACGCTTTGAGTAACGGGTATCTGATATTGAACAACTATCGGAACTCCAAAAATTGTTGAGACCGGACCAATAGTTAATATGTCAACTAGTCGAGTTAAGATAGCGATCATTTTCGTTTTATGTAGAAAATGTAGGCCAAAAATCCACTTTACTTTAACGCAATCGTTTTGGATTGGTATATATTTTTATAAATATTCTTTTATTTGCTTATTTAAAGATGTTATACACACCTCAGAATGGACTTTCGGATTGTTTTAAATATCTTAGTGGATGCCCTCGAAAGGACAAAATCAATGCCATTAGCAGAAAACCGAAATCAAGTTATGTAAGTATTTATGCAATACCCAAAATTTTTTTAAATATCAAAAACCCTACCATTGAGGCAGATTTTTCTATCTGTCTGTCTGTCCATTTAATTTTTCGACCGTTCCTATGGCAGCTATATAATAAAGTGATCCGATTTTTTAAATATTTAATTCGAAATATTTAAAAAATAATATTGGGAGCTATAAGATATAGTTGTCCGATCCGGTCGGCTCCGACATATATACTACCTGCAATAGAAAGAAAACTTTTGCGAAAGTTTTGTCCCGATAGCTCAAAAACTGAGAGACTAGTTTGCGTAGAAACAGACAGACGGACAGACGGACAGACGGACATGGCTAGATCGACTCGTCTAGTGATGCTGATCAAGAATATATATACTTTATGGGGTCGGAACCGTCTCCTTCACTGCGTTGCAAACTTCTGACTGAAATCATAATACCCTCTGCAAGGGTATAAAAATTAAATCTAGTAGCCTATGCAATTAATTAAAGATACTAGCTATACCCGGAGCGACTTCGTTCGCTTAAAATTAGTTTGGAGTTAGGAAATTTAGTTTTATTTGCGCGTTTTTTGAAAACCTTTGTGTAAACAATCTTTGTGGAAGATCCTTCAAGAGAGAGATTCAGAAGGCTACTGGCAGGGATATGCAAAAGTAGCGAAGTAACTTATTATTATCCGATTCCACATTTGATTGATAATTAAATTAAAACTCGTCATATTTTGCATTGGCTGAAAGGAAATGAATAATTTTATAAGTACTTAAGCACATTATCGACTTTCAAGTAGAAACATAAACACACATTTAGGGTGTTCAATTGCGTTGCAAACTTTGTAAAGTGTAAAAGTGTATATCAATTCCAACAACAATTTCTATACAAAATAGTTTTAAAGGCCTACTTTTGAACATTTTTTTGTATAGAAATTGTTGTTGGAACTGCCTTACACTTTTACACTTTACAACGTTTGCAACGCAATTGAACACCCTAAATGTGTTCAACCCTAGTCAAAAGTATTTTCACAAATTTGAAGGTTAACTGTACTCATATTTTGAACTTATAATATAAACATTTTGGCACCTAAGGAAAGAGCACTTCAATTCCGTTTAAATGACACAAAAATTTTCTTAACCCATTAAGCACCCTTTGAAAAGTGGGCAAATTAGACAATTTTTTTCGAAAGTCAAATTTTTAACTTTATTTCTGGGGCTTAAAACAAAATTGTTTGGATGCAAAGTTGTTCCCCAATCAAAATTAATAACTGCAAAAAAAAAATTTCAAAGAAATAAATAAAACCTAAGCATTTGATCTACAAGACTGACTATTGATCGAAAATCATATTGATCGGAACACCAGTTTAAGTTTTTGAAATTCAAAACAAATTTTAAATTAAATTGCCCTTTTCCCCTCCCCCTTCCGCACAGCACTACCCCTCCCCCTCCACAGTTTACTTGGCTGTTGCTCTCTCGGCCATCGCTCTCTTGCCATCCGCTCTCTGGGTTTCGCTCTCTCGGCAGGCTCCCACAAAATGCAACGCAATAACTTAGGAAATCTAAATAAATTCGTTAAAAATACTTTAAAAAAATGTTAAAAACTTAAAAAATTAAACTTAAGCATTTGGGCCATAGAATAACCATTTACCAAAAAATCATCTCGATCGGAGCAGCGGTTTAGATTTTTTAAATCGAAAAGTTAATTTTAAATGTAGCCCCCAAAATTTGGGGGATATCGAAATTTCTTTTAGATTTCTAATTAGGCCCTTTCAAGGCCTAAAATTCTGCAAAATCAAAATTTCGAAATTCCAACCACTTTAGAAGTTAAGCTTAAGTAAATCTAATGATTTTTTGCTCTAAATAGGGATATTGGAGCTGTTTGGGGCCACTGGGGGGACATGACGGACCTTAGTGGGCGCCTACGCCCCCAATGGAATACTGTGAAAAAATTTGGCTGCTCTAGCTCTTATGGTTTAGGCTGTGGTCGTATCCCCCTAAAAATCGGTCTTTCATTTTATAATCTTTAGAGATTATTTATTTGGGTGAGTCCCATACTATAACAATCGTCAATGACAATAATTTCGTGTGGCTGGACTGGGTGGACTTATTTTGTATGAAATTTCTAAGGCCATGCTCTTAACCCTTAATATATGGCTTTTTTGTATCCTTAATCCATAAAAGAAAGAAAAAGTAAAAAATAATTAGTTTTAGTCTGTGCGCAACGGCTTTAAAGTTTATTACGCATTTTTCAGATTTATCTAGATGCCGTAGACTTAATTTTATATTTTGACAGTATTTTAAAAAGTATCTGAAGTCGTTGAGACAATTACAACCTAAAAATAACAATAATAACGAATAATCAAGGACTTTTAGAGTACAACATATAAATATTACGGTCTCTGAAAAATAAGAGTCAATATCGTTGTATCCTAAGCCAGCATTTCTCTGACGAACATTTTTATTGGCGGACGCAAAAGTAATAGTTAGTCTTCAAAATTGAAAAATAGAATCTCTATTTTATTGTGAGTCACAAAAAAAAAAATCGTGAGTCGGGGATCGAACTCGGTCATATTTGTTCGGAGACAAAAGCTCTACTGGCTAGGCTACGTCCAACTGATAATATTCATGAAATAAATTTCTACTTGACTCTTTTATTTAAGCGAAACCAAAAAGTTGACATGTTAAAATCTGACAAGAAATGAAATGGGGTAAATTCCTAGTTTTACACTTAATTTTTAGTGAAACTTTAGGGCCATTGCGCACCGCCTAAACGATGAAATAAAATTTTTCTGTTTTCGCATAAATTTATTGGACACAGAAACCTACCATTTAAGATGCTGAGCTCAGTTCACCTTAAAGAAGTCCACCCTAATGTCCATACAACAGATCCTAAGTTAAAATCTCCTGTCAAAATCTACCCACACCGTCAACTAAACTGTTATTTATGCTGGAAATATTATTCATATGTGCCTGATAAAGCGTAAAATCGCTACCAGCTGGTCCAGAAGTGAGTCTTCGTTTTCAAGTTTAACGGCTATGCAGCAGAAAGTATGGTTTGCAGCCACAATGACACCACCACCTCTATCGCACTGCATTCTGCTGAAGTCTATGTCCTTACGATAGCGCTAAAGTTAGGATGGGCTAGGTTTTTACCAATATGATTACATCATAATCACTATTGGATGTGTTCATGAAGACAGATTGGGTTTTGGTTTTCATTCCAGATATATTTTGAAAGAAAATTCTATGACGGCGAGGTGAATTTCCTGGAACTCTTGCCTTGGATGCCTGGCGGTAATCAGGGAGAGTGAAATCAGCAGCAGCAGCAACAGTCTTCTTCACTCCACAGCCGTAGGATTAAGAACCCTGCGCAGTAATTCCGCACGAATACGTATTGGCAGGTTGAGATCATCATCCCAAAGATCATATATGGTATTACAATCCAACGTTGGCAACTGTGTAGCAGAGAGCGATACTCCATTAAAATCGCTGAGCCATCCAGGTGTTAACGCGATGATATGGATGATCTCCCATAATGGGAGTCCCATAAACTGACGAGAGGGATAAGGGCGATGTTAAAAGCAAGCCACACACTGTCCAAGAACTCCTTTTACCGCTTGGTTGCCATTAATGATCCAAAACTGCTGCTGGGTGATCGCACGTGTAAGTTGCACTCCCCCATGCATAGGGTTGAGATGAGCGATTTTTAAGACGACTGTATGACGAAAATTAATCGATGAATGAGTAGTGGATGAACAGGTGTGGGCGTGTATAACCTTTCCCGCCCGTTCTTCGCAGATTGTGATCGGATCTGGAGATGTAGGAGTACCTTGGCCAATGACCTTCGGGTCTTGGCAACCAGTCTGGGCCGCTCCACCAGAGTTTATACTGCGCTAGCTGTAGTGGTGTTAGATCGCGCATTGCACAATCAGCAGGATTGTCCTGAGTGGCGTATGACCCCACTGTGGAGAAGAGCTGACCTCTTGAATAATGCCAATTCGATTTGCTACAGAAGTCTTCCACCTGCATGGATCTCCATATATCCAGTGAAGTACGATCATGGCGTCTGACCGGTAGCGCTGCGACACGCATCTGAGGAAGTTGTTGCTGGATCAATGAGGCGAGTTTGTTAGCCAGAACTTCTCCCGAGAGCTCCACTTATGGTCCATGGTATGGTGAGAGGCTTTTTTGGTGTTCTTGAAGGTAGGCACATACTGCACACGCGAGGGACGATCCATCAAAGAACATATGCAATTGAAGCAAGATCACCTTGCGTGTTACTTGAATGTGTTGAGCTTCTGGAAGCTGTTCGAGGTATCGCTGCTAACGCTCGGCCAAAGATTCTGTCATCCCAATCGAGTGCATTATAAGTGCCGTCAGTCATACGAAAACTCCATAAGTCCTTGAGGAGAATCTTTGACATGACTATCACGGCCGTTGAAAATCCTAATGGATTTGATGCTCCAATTCGGGACGTTACAATGGACAGTGATGGTGTGTGTCATGGATTCCGTCACTGGTCCAAAAACAATCCGGAAAAACGCCCACAAGCACGTCGATACTACCGGATTGGGAAAAATTTATCGGCGAGTTGCAATCCTTAAGGTGTCGATATTTCGATTTTGAAAGGTGCCCTGTAAATGTACGGAGAATAAATGCAGTGGATAAAAACGATGTGAACTGGGAACCTGAAATCGAGCTTAAGACAAACTTGGTACCGTTGTGAGAGAAATCGCCGATCCCTGTTATTTCCGCAGATATGGGGGTGTGTGAGAGACCCAGCGCCTGTACAACGCTTTCGTTGATAAGTGTTCCTTCCGAGCCATGGTCAATCAACGCTCTGGCCAAAACAGATTGTCCCGTTTGGTCGTTGACAGTTCGGTTTAGGGCCGTGGCGAGAATCGTGGTGGATGGATTTCGATGTGTGGCAACTGCGCTGAGGAGTTACGTCTCGTTAGAAGCCGTTGAGCTGGGTGCTAGGCTGTGCTGTTGAGACAAAACAGATAAAC